GTATCGTGGGTACTCGCGTACATTATAGGGAATGGGATCATTGCAAAAATATGACAGCAAATCGAGGTAAGTGATCTCAGAGTTTCTACTTAACATTGTGACTTGAAATCTTGCACACATATTCAATATACATAGTATGACAATGTGTGAAAGTTTCAGCTACCATATTCCTGTTATAGGGAAGATATTTGAAAAACATTTCGTAAACGTCAACATATATGTATAAAATGGATGCACCTATGTATCATTTGGATTCAGAACGGTAACAAATGGATGCTTTAATAAATTATACTTTTATCATGATGATTTATTTACTGATGGACAACTGGCCAGATTTTCTTTGTATCCATTGTTTGGATAAACATTCCTCATTCAGTAAAGTAATTAGCCACCCCATTACAAGTAGTCTAAAGGCACCCTCATGAAAAATTGAAAATACTATGTATAAACCCATCAACTGGAAAATGCCATTACAGATGAAATAAAGGACCCACGGCCCTGTGCTCACACAGTGTAGAACCTACAGAGGAAGGAATGTATATCCTGATTTATAAACAAAAGTATTGGTAAATATGAGATCAATGAAAGATGAATCCTTTGTTGTTGGTTTAGATATGATTTGTTGTAGTCAAAAGAAAAACTATGAATTTGACCTAGATTTTGACCTAGGCCTTTTAGTGTTCAAATTGTGAAGAAAAGTAGATTTTGAGAGACGGCTTCTATTGTAGATTCTTATTAAGTTGGCTGCATCCAAGCTGTATCTAGTGTTGTGTTGTTACAATTGATAATTTTCTCAAGCCCCATTGACTTAACATGGGATACCAAAATAGCCATTTTTGAGATTTCAAAATGCCATAACTTCCGAACCGGAAGTCGGATCAAAATCTGGTTTGCAGATTCGGATTCCTTGGACAATTTTACACATATTTCATAACTTATACATTGAATTCTAAGAACTTTTTATTGTGACCTACTTTTCGGATGCCATATCTCAAAAACGGTAAGAGTGATCAAAAACAACTTGCCTGTAGGGATTAGCTTTTTTCCAAGGAACATGATTAAAGAAAACGGAGCAAAAATATTCAAGGACGACTGAGAAAATTGAAAAAATGACAAAGTACTGGATTTTACCTAGTTCTTGACCTTTGACCTGGTTTAAACCTGATTACACCCAGATCTGGACTTGGACCTGAACTGGACCTTGACTTGGACCTGGACCTGGACTTAGTCCTGGAAATGGACTGGACTGGTATTTTTTCAATCTTTTCTTCACTTCTCTTGACGTTCTATAAGGCTATCATCAGATCGATTTTTCTCGAAATTTAAAAATCAATCAATCTCAATCCGAATAGCAGTTTTAATTTGTGCAACCAATGTTGACAGACGGACGGACCAACGGACGGACACCTGGTCGATCCCATAGTCTCACTTTGTGAGCCAAAAACTATGGTTTTATCGCTGATACTGTTAATTTGAAAGACGGGTCAATAACATGTAACGATGACAATGAAAATGAATGAAGTGAATTCAGAGCAAAAGACCCATCTACCCACTGGAATACCCACAAATCAAGTTTCATAGCCTTGCCAAAGTCGGTCTATTTTACTTATCTTGATTTCTATTATGACTGCCTTGTACCCAAGAGAAAGCCATGTGCTTTACCGACCCAATGTTTTTGTCTGTAAAATTTGACAAATCAACGACGGCCCTACATTGCCTGACTAGGTCTTCGTGCATTCCCATCGCGAATTCAGTTTTGATTTTGAATTGCATGATTTCATTTAGACGAGTATTAATGACTGCTTACATTCCAATGTACATTTAATAACATAATATATTGTAACTCTCAAGAAACACTCGATCAGATCATTGAATTTCAAGTCCTAGACGAGTAGTTTGCTTTTTTTATGCAGGTCAACCTGATAACGTTTTGATTGGTCAATCAGCCTGAAGTCACACGTTGTGTCCATGTCCATATTGTCAATCAATATGGTTTTGCGATACCCTTAGGTAGCCTAGGTATTATGGGAATCTTGGAACCACTGAATAAGTTAGCATAATATCAGCGATGATACATTGGATTGTACAAGGTGGTAATAATTCAAGATCAGATAAGTAAATAAATACCGACTTGGGCAAGGCTACCAGTTTCAGAGCCATTAACATTCCTTGAAGGTGACAATGAGCAGCCAACAGATGGACCATCCGTAAATCTTGATGATTTTGTCAGCTCAGCTGAACGAGCCTCCAGATTCCTTGAAACAAATGACCATCATTCAAGAATAGTATTATCTATTTACAATTTTTTGAAATCGTGGTACGTGGAATTTTTCAAATTACCAATATAGCATTATTATTGTTTTCGGACACTGTGGATTAAAATATTAAAAATACACACATTCAAAATGATTCAATTGAAACCTAGCCAGTCTGTTCAATGAATCCAATCAGAACGTCTACTAATCCACATGATACATCATAATTAAATTGCTTTTTTAAAGCTGATATTTCATACCATAACTCCAAAAATATTATAGAACGCATTGTATTTGTATTTTACTTCACACAGACATATTTGTGTATGTGAAATAATTATATTACTTGAATTTTTTATTCCCCATTACAAGGTAAAACTATGGCAAATTATACATACCTTCTCACAGCTATGAGCGAGATGATAAAACTGGTCGAGTGAACTCGTTTGAGTTATCTATTCTCCGTAAAAATATCAGAGAATGTGTGTTTATAGCGTAGCTTTGGTTTTGTAAATCAATGAAGTATGATATACACGGATGAGTAAATGTAGATTATTTGAACAGAAGTGCAAAATTCTTCCATTGAAAAGTACAGAGGCGGGTACTCACGAAACATTACATGTGCCTGACTGCATCCACATAGATCGACTAGCCACAGTGTATTAAATACGACACCTAGAACCGATGTATTTAACATGGAATCGGGTCGAGATTATTTGCCAAACAAAGGACAGAAAAAACGCACAGAGAACTACAACTTTATACCAGACAAATCAAAAATGGCAATACAGTTGGACCATTTGGCGAGAATAACTTTCCCATTAATATTTATATTTTTTAATGCTGTATACTGGCCAGTTTTCTGGTTTTTGGATAGTATAAGCGGTTTAGATTAATCAAGTCAATAAGAAGTTAAACATGTTTAAATGCTTTTTCTGTAGTAGTGTATGATAATAAGAACAATAAATATCAACATACATGTATCAACCCCTACATACTAGAGAGGTTTAGCTACACGTATAAATGCAAACCGTGAACCTGAACGCGTAAGTCCACGCTCAAGTACACGTTTAAGAAAATTTTCTGTTGAGCTACACGTCTGAAACCATGCCAGTGGACGTGGTGCTATATTTGTGTGGTGTTTGTATCTAAAGGTCATCTCTCTATGTAATGGATAGCATTTCGGACTCGTGTCGGTTATGCCTGGGTTCGAATCTGGTCGCATCAAAACATTGTTTTTTTATTTTTGCTTTATTTCATATTCAACCACAATTAAATTATCTAGTGCGTCCTCCATTATGATCTCCCCATGAACAAAATAAATTCATCTGATCATGATTTTTCAAAATAAATATACTGCTTTTATCATTACATTTATATGTACACTAGTATCTTGTTGACCTATATTCAGCACTGTATTGATGTATGGGCCACTTATTAGGGCCAATGTTCAATCATAAAGTGTACAGGGGTAGAAATGCCAAACTAGGAAGTCTTTGTGTGTCCGTCAAAATCCATTTGCATCCTACACATCCCTACATCTTATCCAAATATGTTATTAATTAATGAAACATAACAGTATAATCTTTGGATTTACAAAGTTGTATGGGATTTCATAAGTGTAAAAGTTGCTTTTGAAGCATTTTTCTATAGCCATTTTGTAGGAAAAATGATGAAAAAATGTATAATCTTTTAATTTGAAGTATGACCTGAATCGATTGCAAACTTTATATTTTCACATCTGATGTGATATACCATTTGTTTCATATTAATTGTGAAATTATTGAATTTGCAACCAATTCAGGTCATTCAGTCATTCAGATTCAGGCAAATCAAATGTCGTGATAAGGCAATCGTAGGCCCTGGTTGTCATTTCATTCGTTTAGTATACATATTGTACCAAGCCCCGGGTATCAAATTAGCCCTGTCTATTTATATTGTACGGAATGAACAATCGATCACATTTGAAGTTTACTCATTAAAATGTATTATTATTTCCAATTAAGGATTAGGGTATACCAATATAACAAGCAAGATTGTTTGTATCAAATATGGGCTCCCGGGCCATCCTAGAACATAGCTAAAATCAATCACGTAATGAGCGACGTGTAATCACTCATCTACACGTAAAAACCTGTAACTTTCACGCTTACCTGTAGAAAGTAGACTAATCTGACGTCATTTTCCTGCGCGCGCATAGAAGTACACGTTCATGCTTTGTTGAATACGCGTCTGTAAATTGCACGAATATGATAATCTCATGTATCGACTTGTAAACTCCACGATGGCCCACAGGAAATAAACAAATCTTACGTCATTTATCTGCGCGCGCATTGAAGTTCACGTTCAAGTTTTGTACGTGTAGCTTAACCTCTCTACTATATAAACTTATGAACTTGATTTATTTGATCATTAAAAGACGATTGCTCCCACAAATGATGCAATTTGTCAAGATATTTTCAAATATAGGGCCGTCATTTTTGAATATATTTCAAATATATTGTTACAAATGTTATATTTTTATTTATATTATGTCAATAGCTGGCCTTTCCTTCATGATTACTCATTCCGTCCTCAATCATTCAATTATTCCTGCTGTAAGCCTCCTGACATTCCTGGTATTCCTCTTAATCACCTCACGAGCACCCATTATTTTCTCTAAAACGCTATTTCACTTACAGCCGCAGCATCTGCCCATTCATCGTATCTTAAGATCCCTTACAATGATTCGAAGGATCCGATTGATTATGCCCAATTGAATGTTGGATCATTTAATAGGTGAGCGAGTTGCTCGTTATATGGCTTATAAAATTCATCAAGAATAGTCTTTGTTGAATTGAGCATTGGTCCTAACGATGTTGCATCCTTTCTTTTGTTAACATTCACTGGATGTAGTTCCCTGATGAGTTCCTCCGTTGCAAAATCTATAGGATCTATAAAATATATAGTGAACAACTAAACGTATAATTCTTTAAATTGGTCCTCTTAACGTCAGGAGCTTTGACCTTTAGTAACCAAATTACTCGTAGACGGACTTTGGTTTTATCTGTTAAATTGGACACAAGTTAATGGGCACCATTTTAGAAATACCAATATTACAAAATACAAAATCATTATTCTATAAATATTCTAGAAATAGATTTCTTGTGTCAATTGTGTCACACAAGATTTGATTTGCGTTTAATAGTTCAATGTAAACAAATACATAGGGTAATGAAAAAAAACATTTTAGAAACTCATCATCATTAGAAATGGTAGAAAAATAGCCTATCATAAGGCAGTAAACCCAAACATGCTAAAAAGACAAGCTTCTTTTACACTCACCCATATCTAAAAAAGCAAATATGTCTTTCATTTGTCGAATAGGATCCTTATTTCTCTCCTCTAGAGTAACAACTTTGAAATTCTCCTTCGGAAACACAGATGTCCATTCCTCTATGTCAACAACGTAGAGACCAGTGCGAAGCCGCAACTAGAAGGTAGAATATGACACTGTGTATGAATCACATTTAATAAATAGGTAAATGTCGATAACCCCTCTGGCCAAGTAGAACTACGCTTAGTCGTATATATCTTACAACAAACCATGCTTGATAACGGCTAACTGTGACAAGGGACAATATGTGAGAAAACATATAATAAGATAGGAACTTTTAGGCCTAGATATTTGATTCTGATTGTACAAAGTTTCTCGTTGAATTTCAATTCAAGTTATGCTAAAGTTCAATATATTTACTTAATAAAAAATAATAAGTAAACGAATGATAAGGATTCAATCAGAACATTCAAATTTATAAACGAACAATGTATGACAAACTCAGTGAGATGATCACAAAACGCAGACCATAAAATGTTCGAGGAATTGTGAGGTTTGGTCTGTACATGTAGTTACCTTCAGTAACTGTAATTCATTTGTAGGGTGATATGTTTCATGAACACATTTCCGCTCACTAGCTTCACTGACACATTTGTTGAACTGTTTGACTACCAAAGTTGTCCATTTGTGAAACTGCTCCAAAGTTGGTTTGTCAGAGAAATACAGGTACCCTGAATATAACCTATACTATGATTATTATTCCTCATCCTAATAGTTACTCTCCCCATTTTGCATTCATCATCAATGCATTGCATGTCCACTCGTCACTTAATGACTGGTATTCTATTAAATTGTTGTTTTCCAATGATACTCTGTGCTTCCATTAGTTCTTTTTCCAATTAAATTCAAATTGTTTCTGGTTCACAACTAAAACATGATTGTTGAAAATCTAATCAGCCATGAAATGTATGAAACGTCTTTTTCATGTATCGTATGAAACATTGTATGATTGCTTTTTAATTGAATACACTGAGTTGAATTGAAATCTCCAAACATAATGCGTGGGCTTTAAACAAAACCCAATATTCAGTTAGTTAGGGTTTTAAAAAGTATGAGTGTATATCGATGATATGTCCTCCAAGAGCAAAGACTAGTAGACAAGGCCATCATATACTAACCCACCATTGTCTTTCTTGAGATATTACAAACAAAGATAGGGTGTCGACATACGTTATGTCTATTTCATCAAATAACAAGTCAAAGATTACCTTGCAGTTGGGTTCCGCAGAGTAATAAGGAACTTGGCATTGGAGTGTATACGGTGCATGAAGTGTGGCGTGAGGTACTTAGGTTCTGCTCTATCAGCATTCCCGGGGTATTCTCTCCAATTTTTATTGTCGTACAGTGTATTTGGAGTAGCCTCCCCTGAAACATACGTACATCCATTAATGTTGTTTATGGTAGCTTCATGAATTATAAATCAGCAAAGGCTACCCCAAAGGCAATGACTAAACTTTTAAAAACATTAGTGGGTTTCTTTTTGGGAAGGCAAAATACACATATAAGTAGGTTCAAGGTTGTAGGTACCTGTTATTCCCATTTGTTCTGCCGCCGCTCCATGCGTTTCTTTTGTCTCGGAGATTCTAAGTGCCGCGTCGTCGAAGTAACTGATGTACTCATCTAGCGAAAGAAATTGTTGAAACTTGTTTCGTCCTGTTTTTAGATTAGCCATAACTGCAAAGGAACAATTTAAGTAACAGACCATTACATGTGAACCAAAATGCATGCTCACTTGTAGAATGAATCTGTACCCCAAATCCTGTATTTATCCTCAAGGTTTTATATATATACCAAACTAAATAATGACTCTAATACTGAACATTTGGTGTATTATTCACAAAATGACTTATACATGACTACAACAGTTGAGACGTACTATAGCCTTAGAAACAGAATATACCTGCCGTTGGAAGATTATCCCACCAGTGCAACTCCTTATTCACACAAGGATGGAAATCTGGATGCATCGCTAGGCGCTCATAAAGATCTGAGGTACCACACTTTTGAACACCAAGAATATAAACGTAGGGAAGACATCGCACTCTATACGGATTTTTTGAGTTATTGAACCTGAAAATAGACAAGAACTAATCGGTCGACATGCTTTACTAAATGAAGTCGAGGCAGTTTCATATAATGAAACTCTTATGGACTTTTTATAAAATAGATGTCTCAGTAAATGGCCATTATTCCAAAATGTGTTGTTCATCTACATTGGTTTGTAAGCTGTTGAAAACGTTGATAAATCTATTATTTCTAAAAAAACTATAAATTGTGAATATTTACATTTTAGAATTGTATTGCAAGACACCATCTAATGCGTGGGGACGTCTCATCAAATATGGCAGGGGGCGTGCATATGGATCTACAGCCGTCAATGGTTCAAGCCAACATGGATTTTTCATATCAAGAAGAAAATGAAGCTCTGGCTTGAATATAAGATGAGTGGATATAATTAACATGCAAAGATGCAATGCATTTTATTAAAGTGTCTGCTAAAAATCTGGTTACGTACATTTGTATCACCAAGTTTACATTTAGCAGATTAGAAGTTTTTTTATATAGGTACAGTATGTAAGGTTCATTAATTCCCACGCTGTTTAGTTTTATATTAGAAATACTAATTGAATTTAATATCAACACTCGACGTTCTTTCAACACTTTCCTGTTATTTTCGAAAGATTATCCTGGCTGGGACGCATATACAATATCTAGGACTAAGAACTCTAGATCTCCTTACCATTTTCAATATGTCAGCATTTACATCCTTGCTGTTAAAAGAGAATAATGCATTCTTTTGAAACTGATCAAGTACGATATCAGTTGGTATTTCCTGTATGACATCTATTGATTTCATTTCTCTTATTCCGAATCCTGCATTATCATCGTCATGTTGGTTTGCCAACTCTATCCTAGTATGCCTCAATTTTGCTTTTGTCTCTGCAACATGCTCATTGAAGTGTACATGTTTTGGTTTGAGGTCAACATCTAGCACTCTGTGACGGTGATTAGAAATAAGGCACATTAACAATACGGTAAGTATGCCCGATGATAGTAAAAAGAATCGGGTAAGTGTACGCATAGCTCACGGAAGAGGATGAGAGACTTGATCCTACTTATAAACATTTATGAGCTGCACTGTTTCAAGATCAATGATAATTAAACGTTCCTAAATAGAAGTACAGGCAAAGTGACAACGACCTGTAAATTATCATCGCTTTAGTCAATCATTCGTATGATGCTATCCGTTGAAAACCACATTCCTTCATTCAATTCAGCTTTGAAAATATACATCGTAGACACACTCGTTAGACACTCTCCTTTGATTCCAAATGCTGATGATGCTAGAGTAGACTTGTTTAGTTTACTACTATAAAAAAATGTAATATGGCCGCTGGGTCAATGATAACATTCTCTTTATGTTTCATTGTTTAGTTCCTGACAACTCACTGTCATAAATAATGCAAACCAGTGCTTGTTAACCAGTAATTGCAACTCACAAGGCGCTTTGTGATACGTCCTGATGTATTGTATAACATTTAAAACTAGGCTAAAAACGTTAATACACCGTTTTATAACTCTTTCATGTTTTTATTCTAGAATCAGGTCTTGCAAATATCCTACATGTATGTTATTATAAAGTTTAGATCCAAGGTCGAATGAAAGATGACAATGGTTTCCCATTGAATTCACTTAACGGGGATGGAAGCTCTCTCCTTTGGGAAACTTATTTTTGCAGAATTAATATTTCGATTTATTGTTAGGTCAAATTAATCTGTTTTAGTAAATATTATAGGTAGTATCGACTTTGATACATGTGTCATCTGAAAGCAGTGTCTTCATTCGGAGCTGCAATCCCACAACTTAACGTATAATGCAGGAGAACACATGATTCATCTTTCCCAATGTATTTATTACCAAAGTATTACACATCATTGGATTATTCAGCTAATATGGACAAAGGCATAGCTAATCATAATTAAAGGATTTAAGCCCAAGACTCATTGCATTGTTTGCTGAATCAAGTTTTCAACGCATCAAATCCAATGTAAATCCATTCATCACCATGACAACTGTTTAACTAGTGACCTTGCATGTGTTATTGATATTTCACACACTATTCGCTATGTGAATACTCCGTTCGGATTGGCTGGAATCGGACACAACTTGCCTAGCTATGCGTGAATATGTTTTCAGAGTAAACGTTAGAACAAATAGTTACGGACGCGGCATCCAACGATCTTAGGTGGAACAATGTCTCATTAATCACTTTAATTCCAGTTTAAACATCTTAAAAGTATTGTAACAATTTAACGTAACACGATAAAAACACTACAACGTTTGCCTCCGTACAAGTGTACAAACCCTTATATTTCACATATCTGTTGGCTTGGGGAAATCTTTGTTTGCATGTTCCTCAAGCCCTAACAGTTTGGCCATCATAGGATTCGGATCATAGAATACTTCAGCCGATATCATTTTCAAGTCATCATTCACAATAACCTTTGACATGCCAGTCATTTCAATATAGTCATTTGTTGGTTCGCGGTTGCCGAGTTTTCCAGTCCAGTTTGTCCAATGTCGCCAAGAAAACACGATCTTCGGGGGTCCTGAAAGTGAAACGTGAATATATAAAAATAATGTCCAGAAGTTGTCTTTGTCTTTTTCCATTTTTTTATTTTGCTTTTTCTTCTCATTTTTTGTTTTGAATTTATTTTTCGAAAAAGCAAAACAGTTCAAGGAAAATAAAAAAGGGCGTACACCAGCTATTTTTAACACATGAAATACATCATTACGAGGAACATGCTACAGTCTTTTCCATGAGTAAATGAGTCGGTTGATAACGGATAACATGTTGAAGTATAGTAAGTTAGGTAACAGCATACCTGAAAATAGCTCTGTCAGCTCCCAGGCAAATCCCTGATCGAATGCTTTCTGGAATAAGGCGAGTGACGTTTCACAAGTATGAGCGTTGAGGTTGTAAAGTGGGCAGCCTGCGAGAAGCATCTGGTAGTTTCCCCGATTCAAACAATCTTCAGCACTGAACTCGTAGTTGCCATTTACAATGAACTTGAATGTATCTTTGTCAGCTATGGAGCCCCATTCCTGAAGTAATTCACATATTATCAAACAGAATTGTATAACACGGATCTGAAAACGGAAATCAAGCCTGTATAGGCCATCCACCGTCTTCAATAATTGTTCTTAATTGGTACCTATTTACATGTAGTTCTTAATGTTGGATTATGACTGAGGATTATTGGAGTTTATATTGGTTATGACTGGGGAACTCTTAGCTAGAGTTTTCTTTTTCTTTAAGTGTTCTGTAACCATTGTTGGTGTCTTCCTGTTGGCACTTGCGCTTACATATACTTTAAGGATTTAAGTCGTTATTGACTCAGTGCAACGTGGAATGATCATTCCTTGAAGGTTTTACTTTCCCAAATATGTACGAGATAAGCAGCATCGAGTGTTAATTTAAGGAAACAACGCCTGAAAGGAATGGTCATTCCAAAATGCATTCTTGGACTTAAATTCTTTTCGCACATTGCAAAATATTCTTTTTCATGTCACTTAATAAATGATACGAAATCACCAAAAGAAGATATTTTCAATAACACTTTTTGCAAGGGTCAAGTTGGCAAAGTATCAATTTTAATCTGAAGAGTCCACTTGTCACCTTAACAACCACATAATTAGTGACGTTGGGTGCGGTGATTGGTGATATAATGTACAACAGTTATATTAAATACTAAGAAATGTTGAGAGATGACGAAATAAAACTACACCTTAGCCTACTTATATTTGAATAAGATGGCGGTTTTTGTAATGTATTTCCTGTGTACGCAACGAAAATACTCTACGCATTTCCAACCCCCACCCCCCGAAATATCATCTGCTTGAATCTCAATAAAATTCGAACCAGGTAACTTCAAATAGATTTAGCATTGCAAAACCCTAATGGGAATTAAGCAAACAGTTATGATTCGGATAGGTTTAATTTTTAAAATAAAAGGCCAAACCTTAAATACAAAATCTGTGATAGACTTGTTAATTTTAACAAAAAAGTATCTTTGTTTGACGACAACGGTCCAATTCATCATTTTTAGTTTTTAGCTAACATGATTAAAACTACATACATTTAGATCCATCTTATGTGTGCTCTCCATTTCAAAGGTTTTGGCTGCGTTCTCAACGAGTTTCTCAAGCGAGTCAACAGGATGATTTGATATTTTCAATAAAACTTTTTGCAAGGGTCAAGTTGGCAAAGCATCAATTTTAATCTGAAGAGTCCACTTGTCACCTTAACAACCACATAATTAGTGACGTTGGGTGCGGTGATTGGTGATATAATGTACAACAGTTATATTAAATACTAAGAAATGTTGAGAGATGACGGAATAAAACTACACCTTGGCCTACTTTTATTTGAATAAGATGGCGGTTTTTTTAAATGTATTTCCTGTGTACGCAACGAAAATACTCTACGCGTTTCCAACCCCCACCCCCCGAAATGTCATCTGCTTGAATCTCAATAAAATTCGAACCAGGTAACTTCAAATAGATTTAGCATTACAAAACCCTAATGGGAATTAAGCAAACAGTTATGATTCGGATAGGTTAATTTTTAAAATAAAAGGCCAAACCTTAAATACAAAATCTGTGGTAGACTTGTCAATTTTAACAAAAAGTATCTTTGTTTGACGACAACGGTCCAATTCATCATTTTTAGTTTTTAGCTAACATGATTAAAACTACATACATTTAGATCCATCTTATGTGTGCTCTCCATTTCAAAGGTTTTGGCTGCGTTCTCAACAAGTTTCTCAAGCGAGTCAACAGGATGATTTGACTTTTTCTCCTTCAAATATTTTTCGTTCACCAAGTCATAGTTAGGCTTCCCTGATTTCCATTTAATATTTGGATCATCCATAAAAGATCTTGTTGGTACCTCAGACATAGTATCCGTTTTGGGTCTAGATTTACATCCACTTCTTAACTGTTAACCAGTGCACTCGTACTAGATCACAGTTTGTTAAAAATGCCCTTGACACTCAGATAAAAAATGACGTTAAGAAGAAAACCTGACCCTGATGTCTTTAATAACTATAAATACTATTAAATCATAAACTAGTTCATAACTAATAAAACTACTAAATCATATCTTGTTTAACTAAGATATCGGTACGGTTCGTTTTGGTAACAAAATGTCGGAACGTCGAAGGTACGATTTTTCTTTTTTCCTTATTTTACGCGTTGTAGGCAGGATCCCAAACACAAGGACACAAACGTGTATCAGCATCATCGGTTTGGGTTAAAAGTGCAGATCTTAACTGTTTTTCGAAAAACCGTTTCTGTAACTTAAGTGAGGAATTAAATCGACGATTCTGTTGTCTTCTGAACTATTTGTTCGCAAATATGTACATTTTCTTAAATATATGATACTGATATACGTTTGTGTTAAAAATGTTGTGGGAATTCTGCCTAAAACGTGTGAAATAAGGAAAAGGGATCGACATTTTGTTACCAAATCGAACCGCTTCGATAACCAGCGTAATCGAGTGGATCACCAGTGCAAAGTTTAAGAGATACAGTAAAAACCAAGATACTCAAATTCTCGAGGGAGTTGTGGTGGGCATAAATAATTGGCCTTACTTCAATGCTACATCGACCCATTATTCTTTATTCAAACCCTTTTAAACTTAAGACATTCAAATGACATGATGTTGTTAATACATCATTTTCAAGGTCATACCTTGTCAGGTATATGTCAGGTATATGTCAGGTTTATACACTGGGAAATAAATCTGGAAACTAAGATGGGTGCTTTGTTCATCCTTCAAATTACAACAAAACATTTGGCAAGTATGTACGTAGTTAATGAGTTCCGGTTTCAAAATATGATTACAACTTAGAAATTAGATCTGCCATTGCTTGGATATTCACAAATCAATTCCCTCGATCAGTAAAAGATGACATTTTTTCTTATGAAATTTACTTTGGTTGCTTTGAGAAAAATCCCCCCTCCCAGTGGTGTTACCGCCATTTAAAAGTTAAAGTTGCAGAATACGTTTGGCTGAAAACTTATATCGAAAGCTCTCTAATAATGTGTTGTTTTTCGAGTCGCATCGATGGCAATTCTATACATGCAAGCACAAATTAATTATAAAATGCAATTGACTTTATGTTTCAAGAGATCTAGAAGAAATAACTGACTCGGCTAAAATACGCCATTTTATTTTGCACTTTTGGGAGCACATTATATTGTTCAATAAGAATATTGCATGTTACAAAAGTCATACAGTTCAAATATCAGCTGGCAGTGGAAAATCTTTGTTTCCATGTTCCTCAAGTCCAAGTAGTTTGGCCATCATAGGATTTGGATCGTAGAATACTTCAATAGATTCGATTTTAACGTCGTCGTTCACAACAACTTTTGCCATGCCTGTCATCTCAATAGGCTCATTTGTTGGTTCGCGATTTCCAAGTTTACCCGTCCAGTTTGTCCAGTGTCGCCAGGTAAAAACAAGATTTGGAGGTCCTACAAATAATGCGAACACAAATGTATTCGATATAATTTACAATATATATCAATAATTGATCATGAGATATTTCAATATAATTATTTTCTACAACTATACTTTAAAATTGTTGAATATTTTGCCTGGCATTAATTAATGTCGATTTCAGGTATTGTAACGTGTATGGATACAAGTACACCAGTCAAAACTAAAGTATCATTGAAGATCGAAGAATATCTTTGATTTCAGGTTAAAATGAGACTTGATTACATGGCCGTAGTCTAAGGGTCGCTGCGAATGTCATTGGACCCCCCCCCCCCTCTTTAGTTTTCATAATAATTGAGTCGCTGCCTTTTTACTTTGCCTCAAAATGTGAGAATTTTAATGTAATTTTTAAATAAAGATACCATGGTAACCGATCTGTGTTTATTTATATAAAAAGATAATGCTGGATTCTGATGGTGCTGCCATGTTTATATCGGTCCAGAACCTGATAATATATGTTAGATATATAGGTGACATACAGTAGATGTTACTTCAGTGTATAAGAGAGTTTGCCTCATGCAGCGTAATAAAGAGTCGAACTGATTGCCTCGCCGACTATGTTTGCCTCACGGACAATTTTGGATTCCTTGACAAAATATTGCCTGATCACTGCCCCTCCTCTGTGATATCCTAGATTTATAGACAAAAATGTCTTGCTGCACCACCCCCCCCCCCCCCCCTACCCCTTAAGTGGATTATGAAGGAAAACGACAGAGACTACAAATCATGATGAAAAATTGTATGATAAGTAAGCTAAGTACATGTATGTCAGAGCTCCGAGCTGCAAAGCTGATGATACACCAGTATATAGAACAGTGAACAATATAATATATAGCGTTCTTAAAATTGTGAGATTAATGACCCTCGCAATATAAAACAGTATGTCTGCAAGTTACTGGCGAGTTACTGCGAGTAACTTACAATCAAACTATTTCAACGAGAACAAAAACAACACATCTGCACCCATGTAACATAATTAACTTACCAGAAAATAATTCTAGGAGCTCCCATGCGAATCCTTCGTTAAATGCTTTCTTGAATAAGGCGTGTGAAGTTTCAAATGTGTGTGCCTTGAGATTATACAACGGGCAGCCAGAAAGAAGCATCTGGTAGTTGCCGAGATTAACATTATCTTCAGCACTGAACTCATAGTTGCCATTTACAACAAATTTAAATGTATCTTTATCAGCTATGGAGCCCCAATCCTAAAATAGATAAATGCAATAATAAGTCACGTGATTCAGGATGGTCAAAACGGAACTCTTGATCACTCTGTAATTTTAGGAAAATTACTTGACTTGATATTTGACTCATTTCAAATTTTTTATCGGTCTAATAAATTTCGTGTTCATCAGACTGAGAGTTACAATAAAGTTACAACACTTTAAACATGCCCGAGGTGGCAACCATCTTCAAGGTCTTCCTCTGATCTGGCTTTTTGATGAAGTCCATTTCAAACTTGATGGATAAGTGAACTCTAAGAATAATATATTCCAGGGGTGCCAAGTGGCCAAGGTAATAAATTAGTAGAGAAGCTTGTTAACACAGACAAATGCACAATGTCATACTGTATGGTGTTTACTCATTAAACAATGTTTATTGAGTCTGATTCTCTTGAAGATTCTCAGTAAGTTCTCTGAAGGGCCTAAGGTTGACTTAGGGGGGGGGTGTTAGATTCCACGACTCCAAGCCCTATACATCCAATGATGCATATTATTATTATGAGCTTTATTATTTTGTATGCACCTTTTGGGCAAGTTGTCCAGCTAATACAGAAAAAATAAAATGACAAAGCTTAACTAACAACGCAGATCTATGCGAGTAGGTAGTTACCAGTTTCGCCACCACGTGGCTCGTTCGGGTCAGATAACATGGCGGGTATAGTATAAAGTTCCCTTTAACTTAAATTACATCTGTTTTAGTGGTTCACTTTTTATATAACCCTTATGTATCTAATAGTTATGCAAATTAAAATATGTCCAGTAAAAGAAAATGTTATCTGTCGAATACAAGAAAAGATATTTATGAAGTGCACGGACCTGGGGACAATTCGGGAAATACGGGCTAATCTCAGCTTTAAGCGTTAATATCTGCCTTATTTAAAAAGCTAAAGTATGTGCTTTATATCATTTTGAAGTATTTTTCATTCGCATTTCACTAAAATTATTTTTCCTTGAAAAGTTTGATGGGATCTACCATATTTTTAAAGTTAAATGTACCCCGACATCGTCAAATACGCTGTAAGACGTAACAATTCACGCTTACACGGTTCGTTGAAACCGGGATAACTTTTGAAATACTGATCAGAATTTTACTAAAATTTCACATTTTATTCAATAGAACATGTGCATTTATGACGTCACAATTGCATAACGTCTACAGTTCAAATTGTCTTATATGAACGCTTTTAAACTTTTCAAAATTGTGCAAGGTTTTGAAGGTCTGACAGTGTTTTTCATAACATCCATTTAACTTAACCGAACATCTTTTCGCTTATTGCATTCGAATAGGAAATGGCATTCTGAACCGGTTTTCTTGTTACACATTAGACATTTATTTTCTATCTTCAAAAGGGGTAATTGGTTTTGTGTAACGACCTGTTTCGATTTCTAATTCACGTGCCCTAATTTTTAGCTTTGTCAAGTTATTTCTGTCTATATCATTTTTGATGAAATCCAAGTAGGGTTATTTCCTTGTTCCATTTTGCTTTCATCTTTTATAATACCTCAATTTACCATTATTTGATTTTATTTTAGTTTCCCAAAATCGTATGTATCTATTTCCCAGTAATTTCTTTATTTCTCTTGGTTTTAAGTCGGAATAGTTTGGTGAAGTACCATTGTAAATAGATGGATTTGACCACTTAATTCGATGACCACATTGTAAGCATAATAGATAATGAATGGGCGCAGCCATAGGGTTTGGGTAAAAAGGCATTGGGCGCTGGGCGTTGGGCGTGGGGTCTACAGGGTGCTCAAAATGGTTTGCAGGTAAAAAGGCGTGGGGTGTACGTTAAAATGTATTCTAGTAGTATAGCTATCATTCATGCTCAAGTGAAGAAGTTGAGAAGCAAAAGAAACGCACAATTTGAGATAGTGAAAACCCAAACATCTTTGTGATATATCGACATTTTTAACCACCTCTAGAACAAAAACGCCAAGTACCAATGTATACCAATTTTTGGTCTATTTTAAGATGCAAATCAATATAGGGGAAGTCAGGTGTATGTCTATGTGACCCCATAGAATACCTGCCACCTGTTTAAAACAGTTATGCACGTACATGTACGTCAATTATTTTGTCCTTCGTCTAAATTTCCGTCAATCAAGTGAGGAACGCCTTTTCTTTATTTAAGAATCTAAGCCCTGGATTCAGTGCAATAAGGAATGCGATTCTTTGAAGGTGCTGCTTTCCAAAGTTTGCCCGAGATGCGGCGCATCGAGTGTTAATTTTAGGAAACAATGCCTGACACCCTTTTGTAAGGGTCACGTTGGCTAGTCATCAATTTCACTCTGTGGAGTCCATTAATCACCATAACACAACCGTTTAACTTGTGACCTCGAGTTCGTTGGTTATATAACGGAATGCAGTTACGTGAAATAGCGTGTTCTGATTCGTTGGAATTGGACACACCTTGCCTAGCTATTGTGTGAATTGTCCAAATAATGGTACCCTATAAGCCCCCAAATGCGCGCTCTACTGCTAAATACAACACCCCACGACGTTTTACCCAGACCATTTTTGACCGCCCTGTAGACCCTACGCCCAACGCCGAACGCCTCTTTACACAAACCCGCAACCATAAGCCAGGTATGTCCCACTTGACTTGATTTGACCTGTGAGGATACACCTAAGATAGAGTGAATTAGAATAACCGAGACATGTGCACATTTGATTATCGCGATTGTGACCCCTTTGAGAATGTCGTTAAAATGCTGTAAATTGTGCACTTAAATGACAAAGATATGAGTAAAATACAGAGTTGACATCTTTTTACCACTCTGTATGAAATGTGTATGTACTGCCGATAGCAAGTCCACAATAGAAATCATATGTAAGACTTTATCTGTCTGGATTATCTAACTCACATGAAGCAAAGTTGAAATAAATACATTTTGTGAAATCTCATGCATAGATCATATTTTTGATTTTTGAGCATTATCGTACCAAACATTTTCGGACACGCTTTACAGTATGTATATGGAGACGAAAGACAGAATATATGAGAAACAAGTTGCCGAATTACTGTGCATTGGTTGCTTAGTCAAGTGTTTTCATTCTGTTAGAAATACATGTGGCTGTGCTTTGATCTTCGATTTCAAAATGATATATCCCGTATAACGTATCATCTTTTGGATGGTTGGACCATTTTATTGAAATATATAGCATGGAATATCTAATATCTTCCTCTAAAATGTTTCAAAGTGACTTTAAATTTGAGCAAGGCATTATTACATAAAGTTTTCAGTCAAATAAAATGTTGTGATATATCAGTTTGCAGACCTAAACATTCTCAGTGTTTTTATGGCGTAATGTCAAGGGGTGTCACATTTGGAATAAATAATGATAGGCCATTCAATATGGGAAATTCAGCACGAGTTGGACAGAATGTTGTACAAAGCACGAACCGAAGGTGAGTGCATTTGTACTAACATTCTGTCCAACGATTATATGACGTTGTTTTTCACCTTTTGTAACTTGTTACGCGTTCATCTAATTTATAAGAATTTCTAACAGTTCACATTAAATACTAACAATTCATTTACATACAAAAGTTCACTACCTACCATTCGTTACGGCGATCGACCTACGAACACCGGCCGCCGAAAACCGAACACGAAAAAGGATGTTATCAATATATATGTCACCACACGTTCAGTAGTGACAAAGCCATACCTCAAAATGTTAATTAGTCTATTTAATTTATATTTATATTATATATTATTTAAATAAAATAAATAATATTATATATTTAGTTTACATTATATTATATTTCTATATATATATATATAGAGATTATCCTATATGAGGTTCAGGATATTGGGATTATCCCGAGGCAAATATAATATATTTGCCCGAGGGCCGCAGGTCCCGAGGGAAAATATATTATATTGGCCAAGGGATAATCCCAATATCCTGAACCGACTATAGGATAATATGTTTATCCCATACCAATCTTGGTCATCTGGTTAACATTGTTAAATCGTGGAAATATTTTAGAATATTCATGTTCAGTTTTGTTTTCTTGGCCGTGGACGGATTTTCCTGTTCTCTCAAATATCCCACATTTATTTTCTCAAATTTCTGATTGATTAAGTGGATGCTCCTTCTCTTTTTTAAACCATCAAACAGATCCTGATTGTCTGTGTTTTCTCCATTGTCGTTTACATTCATTACGCGAACGTTACAAATTATGAACAAATATGCGAGCGGCGATTATGACGTAGCGGGCAGATATACTATATCTGCCCGCTCGGAGCGGGACGTAAAGCTTTATCTGCCCGCTGATGAAAATATAAGTTTTTACAAACCGGCTTTATGTACCTGTAACACGTCCAAGTATGGGATAAATATTTATATTCTATAATTGAATTGACTGACCACTATGAATAAATAAATGAACTAACTAACTAAGTAACTATATTAAAATACAATGATCAATAAAGGACCGTGTATCATTTTTCTTATTAAAATTGACATATTCAAATCTTAATAGTATCTAAAAATGCCGAAGCTTTTTAGAGGGATGAGGCATCCTCTGAGGCCCAATCCCGCAAGTCCATTATTGACACACATATATACATTAAACGTGAAAATTGACGGCTTAGCCACTTTGAGGGATTATTCATCCAGCTCGCTCATCGGCGTCGGTACGCCTGCAAATAGCAATGCAGTAATTGGCAGGGTCCTGTGACGACGCAGAGACAATGATAACTTGGTGAATGATACTTCTGGCCTTATGTGGTTTTAGACTTACTTTTAGATCTGTTTTATGTGTACTTTCCATTTCCCAAGTTTTCGTCGCATTTTCCACAAGTTTCTCAAGCGAGTCAACGGGGTGATTTGACTTCTTTTCCTTCATATATTTTGCGTTGACCAAATCATAATTAGGCTTTTCTGATTTCCATTTGATATCTGGATCGTCCATATAAGATCGTGTTGGTAGTTCAGACATATTCTTCAAGTGTAGTTGGTGTGGTTTATTTTTCGAAGTTTATCTCTAGTTTGTTATTTTTCACTAGAGTACTAGAACTGTACTTAACCGAAGTTTAATATTGTTGAAAGTTGAATACCAAGACCCAAAGTGCAAGAGTAAAGTCCCGAAAACTAATCAAATAGCTAAACATTGGGTCGGTTACACGCCTAACGAGCGACAACATACAGTGACAAAATATAAGGATGTACAGTTTAGCTGTACGTTGTCATGTATGAACGATTAGGTTTAAAAAAAGTTATCTGATGAATATTCCACCAACCTAATTGACTGATTGAAAAATGTTGGTTACATTCAAATTGTTATTATTTTTTTCCCATTGCGTCTGAGAATGACGATTAAAAATACATAATTTAGGACGGAGGGAGATTTATAAATATTCACGTTTTGGCTATACTTTAAAAGAATCAGAATTGTACGTTTTCAACTCGACTAGTACCGTACGTTGTCTACTTAAATGAATTGGCCTCAAAATTATAGTGTTATTTTGTCTTGAATAAATCTAGAACTCTTAAAGTTCTGAACTTTCCATATATAGCATTAACATCCCATTGTCATATACTAATCACCACCACTTCTGTACATAAAACAAAACTCAATAAGAGGTAAAAAGCATATTAGTTTACCTTATTTTTATCACCACCGTTACTATATATACTTAAACAAAAGAGAGCGACTTAGATTTATGAATTTCAAAATGATACGATCCCTCACTAAGCTAGTTCATCCATCAATGTTATTTTTTATATAAATTAATTGCACATATTCAAACAGGAGCATTTGCGAACTTACTTGGTGTCTCATAAATAATGATGATCTTTATAGTTTTTCACACGAGGTCAACATTTTCAAATGTTGCAGATCCTTTTGAACCATTCATCTGTTGAAGATGTCCTTATTATGATGGTGTTAATCATCCAAAAATATGTATCCTTGCTCTCTTTTAATTAATGAGTTGAAAACGTTATAAAAGTAATACAGTGAGTTTATATATCGTGGAGGGGGATTGAGTGGTGGTATTGATATAAGAAAAAACGATTTGCACGATTCTTGTATTTGAGCAAATCACCAATTAATATATATTATGTCATATGTAAAACCAAAATCCGAGTTACCTTCCCTTAAGCGGTGGAAGATATCGTTGAACTGTGGTGCCTACGCATGGTATATCATGAACAAATGATCATATTCCATAGATTCCATGTCATAAAGGCCATTACATATTATTACATAGCATTAGCATTAATTAATAGCATTACGTCAACTATAAAGTGATTTGATTCGATCAAAACAAAATATCGAAATCGACACCTACCAACCGGCGCTTGATACTGACCAGTGAATCTACTATGGTATATGCTCCTACAAGGGACTTGAGCCTGAACGTGATGGGAATTTTTTTAATCCGATTGAGGTCAAAATTTAGGTCAAATCAAAGTTTCTCGAATTTTAACACTACTTTTGACTGGTATCTAGTATACAGATTGACATTAGCGTTTCATTAATGTCAAGATAGACAATTATAGATTATGAGATATTGAGGATGTGTTTTTGAATTTTCTTCAAATTGACATCTACTGTTTATCAGAGGTTCATATTTGATCTTGGATTTGAGTTCTGAAATTTCGTTGGCCTTCGAATGGTTAAAACGTTGATTTAAAAAAAATATTGAAAAGATGAGATGCATCAGGGAAGACCTACTGAAATCTAACAAAGTAACATGTCCAAGGTCAAAGGTCAATGTCATCAAAGAAGGTCACAAAAGTGTAGTCTATTTTTTTCAATTTCGAGTCAACAAAAGTTTCTTTTCAATAACGGAGTACAAAGTGAAAGCTTTTATTTTAATTTTCAGAAGACCTCGATATAGTTTTATTTACAAACATGCATATTACACATCTATTATTATATGCATTATAAATGCGTTTTAAGTGACGGCGGTAAACACGGGTATGTTTAATTGAAAGCGTTCTGCTACTTAACGTGTAACGCTTATTGTCTCCAGGTTTTTGTTTGTCATAAAAACAATAGTTATAATGTCGCCAATTAAAAAGAAATACTGAAGTTTTTTTGCCAATTTTATACATGCTGTTACTTTAACGTTAAGCAGTCTACGTATACATCTCTCTCAAAGTTTGTATGAGATACATAAAATCTTAGGTAATGTTCATTCTCTAAGTAACAGTATAGAAGGCTAAAAAGCACTTAAAGACTGGTAAGTGTTCTCTAGGGTTAAGCTGATCTTAAAATTAATCCTCATGAATTCAAATAAGAGTAGTGTACTTGACCGGAGTAAATGTTAATGGCTACTTGAGATTAAAACAATCAGATGATCACGTACACGTCTATGGCTGTACGTTTCGTATGATATTTTATTTAAAAAGTGATATAGTTGCTTGTCGGCCGAGAAAACGATACTATGAATTATAATATCGTACCCGAGAAATTCTCTCAATAAATTCCATGTTTTATTACAGATTATCGAATGATTGTTAGCATTAGTGTTACTTATTATTATTGATAAAATAGCAGTGTATTATTTTTGCTTGACCCTGTTTTTTACTATCTTCATCCTGAATCGGTTCGTATATGGGTCCTTATGGTTGACATCGAGAGGAATATGGGGTTAAGTATTCACTGATCAGCAGTGTTCATATTTTTTCGTTGTTTTAATGTTCTCATCAATCATTAAGTTTTCTGATCACATATTACTGGTATATCCAAAAAACGGATGTCCATGGCACAATCAAATAAAGTTAGAATTGTCCAAGAGGCTCTTTTTATCAGATCATACACGACATTTACCAACAATTGCAAAATCCCTACTAATTAAATATCTGTTGGCATTGGGAAATCCTTGTTTTTATACTCCTGGAGTCCTAACAACGTTGCTATCAAAGGATTTGGATCATAGAAAACCTCAACAGATACCAATTTCAAATTGTCATCTACAACAACTTTTGCCATACCAGTCATTTCTATACGCTCATTCGTTGGTTCAAGCTTGCCGAATTTGCCAGTCCAGTTTGTCCAATGTCGCCAAGAAAACGCGATATTTGGTGGACCTGAAATGGGATGATGTTATATTATCGATTACACTGAAATGAGGTAAGCGGTAAATAATATCAAAGGTGACTAGCCAAAACAGATGGGTGAGCTTATCTGACTTCTTCTATTCTTTATTACGACCAGATGTATCTATTGGTATTCCAACATTTTGACGTAAAACTGTATTACCAAAGGTTACATTAATGTTATCAAACAAAAAGCCAAAAGCCTCACATAGTTGTATTGCAGAGAAAGATATATTTATTGACCCGATTACTAGGAAATACTATCGACTAAATACGTATGTTGTCATGAATACAGAAATTTTGAATCTCATAGTAGGCGTAAATTTTGAAGATACGGGAAAATATCCTACCAGAAAATAATTCTTTGAGCTCCCAGGGAAATCCTTCGTCAAATGCTTTCTTGAATAGGGCGTGTGACGTTTCAAACGTGAAGGCTTTGGGGTTGTACAGTGGACAATCGGTCAGTGTTATCTGGTAATTGCCTTTTTCAACACAATCTTTAGCGCTGAATACATGGTTGCCATTTATTATGTATTTGAATGTATCTTTGTCAGCTATTGAACACCAATCCTGAAAATATTGAGCATTTAGGGCTAATGTAACTTTTAACTTAAAAGACACAATGATAAGTATATATTTCCTCCTTCCTCCCAAATCGAGCAGGCTACAAGAAAAACGTCAATCTCTCAAAACAGATAAGGTAAAAAATAGCCCAGGATATACACTGTTGATCATAAATATGGAATATTTTATAGATACGAACTGTTTGATGGAATTTCTACAAAATGATAACATTTTGATGAACGTTTGTAATGTGTTCTCATTCCCTCATCAGTTTTGCATATAAAACTGATTGGTATGAAAAGTTAAAACATTTATGGTTGATTAAACTTGTCTTCACACAGGTGACCACATGACCTCATGATATTGGTAACTTGAAAGAGGTGTCCAAATCTTAGTTGTAATCATTGTGCACAATTTATAATATATATATATATAATATAATTTATAGTTTTTAGAAGGCATACCCCATAGAATAAGCGAAAAAGAGCATGACAGGTCATAGGGATGGCGCTCTCTGGCATGAAACAAACTGCAATTGCCAAGACCCTAGGGGTGTGTCAGGAACAGTCTCTAAAATGTTGCAGTTGTACCAAAGGCACTGGGATAGAACTCCAGGTCACAGCAATAGTAGCCCTAGAGGGGAAAATGTAAGAAAAGACCACCACCTGCTGCATTTATGTCGTCAAAATCGGTTTAAGTCAACCAGCAGTCTACGAGATGAATGGCTGTCTCACCCCAAAACCCGTGTTCAAGAGCTACAGACAACCAGTGATTTCTTTATAACGGATGCAAGGCCATGAGATTTTTAAAGAGACCACAACTGACTGATCATAACAAAGAAAGGTGCCCCCAATGGGCAGGAAAGCACCAAAACGTTGGACCTAATCTTTGCTGTCATGTGACAGCATTTGAAGAAATAAGATGTGTCCTCCACAAAGTTAATAATTGTGTTCGTTTCTATCGTAGACCAGGGGGAAGAGACAATAAGGACACTTACTGATGTGGCAGTCCATGAAGGCGCCCCTATTTATGTTTGGAGCAGTATTACAGAGGTTGTTTGGAGCAGAAATTGCACCCCCTTGGTGATTCCCAAACACAATTTCAGAGTAAATAGACCTTTTGGACCTCCATCAAGTACCACATGTAAACAGAGTGTTTTTGGGCAACATTCAACTGCAGAATGATCATGCTGTTACATATGCTAGTGGCATCGTGTTGGATTACATCAGGGCAGGCAATGTGGACCAGTTACCATGGACACAAAAGTCAGCCAATCAGGCTAATGCAGAGCAAATGTAGGACGACCTTGGTAATGAGATTCATAACTTGGACCCCCACCTCAAAATTTAGACACGTTACGCACTGCCCAGATTGAGGAATGGGGCCTTATTTCACTTTGAAAGGTCAGATGTTTCATTCAATGCTGGTCCTGTAGGGTTGATGCTCTGATTGCGGCACAAAGAGGACATAACACATATTAGTGCTATCATTGGATAGAGGACACTTCAATCTTCATGACCAGATGTTTATTTTGTTTGATCTGTTTTACATAACTATTTGGATTGGGGTGTTTTGAAAATGCAAAAATTCTTAGCGTACCCCTGTTTAAGTAACAGTAATTTTCTAAACTAAATGTTAATATTTTTTCTCTAAAAAATGTTGATTTGTAGGTGAAATATGTGGTTATGATTTGCCTAGAAAATAAATGTCTGAGCCAACTCCAAATAAATGTTCTCTTACTCCAAACTTTGAATTCTGAGCTGCCAAGTCTAATATTCCATATTTATGAGCAACAGTGTATATCGAGCACAATATGTCCTGTATTGCACTTCAAATCATTCAATAACTTAAATTCAAACATGCCAAGTGGGTCTCAGCCAATCAGCTTTAAGCATTTTAGTGTGTTAGTTCATTGATATATGCATGAAAATGATTTTGCTGTGCATTTAATTTCTGATAAATGAACGGACTGAGCAGTACTATTCTTTAAAAGGGGTGACAGCATATCATCCGAGTGTTAATTTTAGTCAATGCAATGATTTTCCAACAAACGTTTCATAATTTTTCTGCATCAAATTAATTATTTCATGTCCTATAATATTTTGACAAACAAAACCTTCTCAATAGTTTTCAAACGAATATCAATTGTAACCTAACACCCCTATTTAGTATTTCTAAATAATTAACTTATCCAAAAACATATAAAATTTCATTTCTTCAAAGATAGCAATCTTGTAGATGATATAAATGGTGAATTGTTTTACTTCATCATTGACCAGAGTCATGTTTGAATTACAATAAAGAATCATGTATCATTCTATATTGGAAATATAAAAGCATGAGTGTGTGTACTAACCTATTCTGATAATGTAGATGGGTAAGTACACACTCATGCTTTTATATTTCCAATATACAGGGTGTCCCGAAAGTACCCCCCCCCCCCAGACAGACACATACCAATGTCTCCATAGTATGTTTCATGTATCATTTTAACGCTCATCCAAAGTTACATTGATTTGCCAAGTATCATGGTTCAAGTCACAAGTTACAGGCATTTCAAAATTTACTGTTTGGCCAAAATTAAAGTCAGGTTTACACCAAAATAATAGTCAGTGTGTCTCCCTAGGTCATGTTAACAGCAGCAATGCTTTCCATATATGATATTAAATGCGCTTTAAATAGGGTGTGGCACTTTGTAATCCTCATAAAATACATTTTTAAGGCATTCTAGAAGAGTTTCCTTGGAGTATCTACCCTCAACGTCCTCTTTTTAGAACTCGATATCCGTTCTATCTTCGACAATAGCACCCATATTTCCGGTCACATTCAGGTCGGGGCTGTTTCCAGGATACTGTCAAAATGAACTATATTTTTGGCCAAACACTAAGTTTTGAAATGCCTGTAACGTTTTCCCATTTGTGAGTTGAACCATGATACTTTGCAAATCAATGTAACTTTGGACACGCTTTAAGATTATATACGACACTACTAGGGAGACATTTGTATATGTCTGCCTAGGGGGATGGATACTTTCGGGACACCCTGTAGAATGACACATGATTCTTTATTCATTGAGTTTCATGACTAATAAAGACTATTGACATCGAGGACTGCATTTTATACGAGGGTTGTCCCAGAAGTAATGCACTATATGCTCTAACTTCACCAATAATTAATATTTTTCCATGAAATTTTCAGTAAATGTTCATTAGAGACATTTTGATTATTCTGGAAATTTTCATGTTGATTGATAAAACTATATTGATGTCATAATAAAATCAAGTTGTTGAGTTTGGGTAGGGCGGGGCAGGTTATACAGTCAAGCCAAAAGGAATAAAAAATTGAAAATATGAAATAATTAATCAACAAATACCATTTGGTGTAGCTATAAGAAGTATGCTCAAAAATACATTTTAAGATACTTAATTGCTATGAGCACATCCTAGATACAGTGTCCCAGTGTCCCATTTCACATTTTCTCAAAATATTGCCCTTTGCATGTTATGTACTTTTGATGCCTGTCAAGTCAAATACTCTCAGCAGTTTCTTCCAGTGTGACTTGTGGAGTTTTTGCCTCCCATGTTTGGAGTTGTCATACAAGGTCAAATCGTCTCTTTTAAATCTCTTCTGCCATTCAATAATTGTAGTTCTTCTATCTGGTATATACTCCTCTCCTTATATACTTTCTTCATGGTAGCATTGTTTTGCATGGCTGTGAGTCCAAGTGAAGTATGAAATTAGGCCACCAAACGCAAGGCCTTCTGTTATCAGGTGAGAATTGCAGCCATTTTTGCAATTTCTCGACTGCGACTGTATTTGAATTCGTGACTATTGAAATGTGGTATTATGACATCACAGTGCTAAATGTCATTATTTGTACTTGGTTAACATCATGCTGAATAAATTTAACAATTTCCCAAACATTTTGATCATTAAAAGGAAAGAAATATTAATAAAATAACACTTCAGATCTTTTCATAATAAGAAAAATTGGTACCTGCCCCGCCCACCCCTACCCCCATGTTGTTATAGCAACCATCTTAAGACTTAATATTAATGTTGGATGCTGAAACTTCGGGATATAATAGATAAAACTTCAATTGTTATATACACAAAATTTCAGCTGAATTGAAGAATATTAAAGAAAGTTAGAGCATATAGTGCATTACTTCTGGGACAACCCTCGTAAATATGCTAGAATTGGAAAAAAGATTTCAAGGGCAGTTAGTACTAGATGCAGTTTGTTACGCATTCCCCAAACCATTGTTTACATTCTTGGTATAGACATTGAATAATTACTAAATGCATCAGGGTATCAAAATATATTAGTCACTTAAAGCTGTTAAGCAGCCAATTTTGACACCTCCGTTTCGCTGTGGAAGTAATATACTGTACGTCATGCATATTTCATGCAGATGTATTTATGATCGTGATCTAGATTCACTGGTGATCCGCTCGACTACGCTGGTTACCGAAACGGTTCGTTTTGGTAACAAAATGTCGGAACGTCGAAGGTACGATTTTTCTTTTTTTCCTTATTTCACGCGTTGTAGGCAGAATCCCCACAAAGTTTTTTCTCGCTTAAGTTACATATAACATAAACGGTTTGGGTTAAAAGTGCAGATCTTAACTGTTTTTCGAAAAACCGTTTATGTAACTTAAGTGAGGAATAATTAAATCGACGATTCTGTTGTCTTCTGAACTATTTGTTCGCAAATATGTACATTTTCTTAAACATATGATACTGATACACATTTGTATTAAAAAATCTCGTGGAAACCTGCCTACAACGTGTGAAATAAGGAAAAAAGAAAATTGGTACCTTCGATGTTCCGACATTTTGTTACCAAAACGAACCGTTTCGGTAACCAGCGTAATCGAGTGGATCACTAGTGAGATTACGGACAGTTATTAGTCAGAAATATTTCAAATACGTTTTTTAAACTCATGATGACAAGTATTTTTTATAGAATACTTATTTTGACTCTCAGGAGGTCAAATGAGTC